AAAAGTTGCCACTGCATGGCAAGGGTAGGCAATGAGTAGAAGGAGAGTGCAAAAAGGGCCAGGGGGAGGAGGAAAGAGAGGAAAAAATGGCATGGCGAGAGAGAGAGAGAGACTGTTTTCCAACGTGATAACTTATACTCTTGGGTTGTCATTGAACTGTGGGTTGTTGAAATGTGAATTACTGTGATGTTCAAATCCAGGTGTGCTAACAAGCCGTAGCTTGTTAACCACAAATCATCTATCAAGGGAATTCATGGGTTGTTTCAGGATATGAATGGTAAATTGCTTGACATGGTTTGTGATTTCACTAGGGTTCAGACAACACAACTACCCATGTTTCAAAAACAACCTGCAGTTAAACAACACATACTCAGCACTTGAGTGTAGGTTATCAAGTTGCTGAGCCCAGAGAGAAGTGGGGGAAAGGAAATTGCTCCTGACATTGCTTAAAACAACCAGTAAAGAAAACATCCATATAAAATGGCATCTTAATTATGCAACATAATGCATAGTTTAACTCTAAGCCCCAAATAGTGCAAATAATTATATGGGCCTTTCTGTACATAATTAAACAAATGAAACATGGAAGGGTTTTAATGCATAACAAGTAGGTGGGATCATGCCAGGATTGCCAGGGTGTTAGCAAAGGAAACATGTGAATTACATCTTAATGGGATGTCAAGGCAGTGGTTAATCAAATACTGGGAGCAAAGTGGAAACATTAGTGTTTCTTCACTAATGCCCCACCCCTCTGCTTTTCTGGTTGTCCTAGCAAGGGGCAAGGAAGTGCTCAGGCAGATTTTCTCCCCTTCTTTTAACTGGGGAGGGCATGGATTCAGCCTGGAACCTGTATGCCTGTAAATTGTGATCTACTGCTGATCTCTGGCCTCCCTAACAAAATGAATGCAAGGTATATTGAGAATCATGCAATGAGAACTGGGTTAACAGTGATTTTATTCATAGCGCTATGCGGTGGAAAACAAAGATGGTGACATTAATTTTATATGATGTTAAACTCCCAGCCTTCAGGCCCGCATTATGATAATAAGCAATATGATGGCTCTAAAGGTTATGTTGTGCAATCATCAACTTAAATCATGCAAGGAACGACCTCATGGGTTGACGTACCATTGTTCACACTTCAGCCTCAGCTTTTTGTTCTGAAACAAATTCCACTGTACTGTACTGCACCTGATACGTATTTACAACATTCCTGGAACAGTCTCATTAATAAGCACTTTAAAACTCTCACTGGATTCACTAAATGTAGTTTAATAATCATAACATGCTTATTATGTCAGTCATGGTTGACAAGTTTAATTTATGGTTGACTGGAACCTTTTTGTATTAGACTTCAAGGCTCCTGGGAATACCAGAAAACCACAAAACCTTTCCCAAATACATTTAGATATCAGATTTAGCTAAGCAGTATGCAAACTGCCATATACCCACCCAGCTCCCTTTTTGCGATAGACATGGCGAGAGATCCAAGAACTACACTTGGTATAAAAGTACAATCAATCATTTGTCTCTGTGTCTGAGGTTCCATTATAACTTTGGAGCATTGGATTATCTAAGAAAGTGATCATTTTTAAGGCTGCAGTTCAAAACATCTTTACTGGAAAGAAAGAGCCAAATCAGATGTTAACTGTGTGACTCAGAATAACAACAACGACAAGAAGAACAAGCCTTCCTCCCCTAGAGCAGGCTCAGGCCCTGGATCCAAAACCAATCAGGAGGAGTAGGAGAGCTTTTAACCTTTGGATTGGTCTCCCTGCATCTATCATAGAGTAAAGATAAGAAATGAAACAGCTGCTCATTTGAAGCAATGCCTGTTTGTAACCTCCATTAAGTTTAATGGAACTGAATTTTGAGTAACCATGCAGAAGATTGCACTATAAAGCTACTTTAAAGTTGCAATGCAATGCAATGCAATTTACTAGGTTGTAGGCTCCACTAACCCAATGGGAGTTATTTCTGAGTAAACATGCTTACAGTTAGACTGTAAATCCAATTATCAGAATACATGTTTTTTTCTTTTCAGTGGGAAATAGTGAAAGCTGTACAAATCTGGAGCTTCACAGTTCTGCAAATTTCATTTAATTTCTTACCTTTGAATACCGCCCAATAGCTAAAGTGCTCTGTGGGGTTTATAATATTAAATATTATATTTAAAAGTTTACATGAAAACCTGTATGAATGGAAGGTATACACAAATGCACCCATATCTATTCAATTTTAAACAACCATAACAATATCCATGATTAAAATTTTATATGTTGCCAAATGCCTGAAAGCTCTTAACCTGATGCTGAAAGGATAAAAATGTTGGTGCCTAACAAAGGGGCCATCCACAATGGGGACACTACCAAAAAGGCCCTTTCTTTTGCTGCCATCTTCTAAACATCCCTCAAAGGAGCCTTTGGTGATGAGCGTAACGAGTAGGTGGGATCATGCCAGGATTGGCAGGGTGTTAGCAAAGGGAACATGTGGATTACATCTTAATGGGATGTTTAGGCAGTGGTTAATCAAATACTGGGAGCAAAGTGGAAACTCAAGTAGATTGTAGAGGGCCAGGTGTCCTGGGCAGATGGATAGGGATTGTAGCTGATGAGACAAGAAGGTATCAATTTGACATCAGTGATAGGACAATCCTTTATTACTTTCACCCAGAAGCCACACTGAACTCAGAGTTAAATACAGCTGTATTTATTGTGGTTCATTTCTGTGAATTAAGCTCAGGACTGCAGCCTTTTGCATGGAAACATGAAAAAATAGAGATGGTTCCTGCACCCTAGTGAGTCAACAGTGATATCAACAGGGTAATAAAAATATATTACAGATCCACTACATTCATAGTACTTTTCTTGAGCATGAAAGGCCATACCTATTGAGGGCATCATCTTCCCAGCCTTGAAGGTGTGTAGGTCTTCACAAGCTGGTGCTCAGCAGCCCTGAAGGAGGATGTGATAAAGACCCTACACATTATGTTTGGAAGCTCTGCTTCAGAGCAACAGAAAGCAGGTGCACTGTCTTAGTGATAAGAAAACCCACATCTTTTCTCTGAGTTTCCTGTCCTCCTGTTTGCTACTGTTGCTTTTAAACAATCTGTGTCTGAGGTTGCAGAGCAAAACTGCCTAAGAATCAGCACTACAGTTGATACTCTTTAAATTCTTCATGACAACACCCTCAAAAATCTTAACTGAGCTGGACTAGACGGAGCTTAGTGACTTTTCTTTGCTGTCCTACTTCATGCATGGAGATGGAGAGGGAAGGCATTTCCTAAGGTCTAATGACCAGTAGGTTGTTCAGTGTCCTTGACAAGCTAAGCATTAGCTGCCTGGAAGTGCTAAGTCTTCGTTTTGGCTCAGGGAAGGTACTTTCAGTACAAACGTATCTAAGGATATCTATGTCTGATGGCAGCCAAGCTCATTGCGAATGAAGACCGAGAAGAAATTGGCCCAAACAAGCTCAGCAGCTGTCCTAAGTATAAAAGAGGTCTCTTGTGTTGTGTTCTAAGTGAATGGCAATTCCAAATAAATAGAAAAAGGATATGCACATAAAGGACAAAAGTCTCTAGTAAACAAAAACTGCTCAATGGGGAGAAAAAACATTTTTAACTAGATTCAGTGTTTGCTTTGTTGCTATTAAGAAGTATCTTAGCTCAGTTTCACATCTTTCTTTCTGTGCCAGAGACTTATGATTTATTTCTTGATTTTCTTTCCCCACACCTACTCTGTGGAGGCAATCTTTGGACTTCAAGTCTGCCAGAAAGATTTATTTAGCATCCAAAAGCCTTTGGCCATGTGAGCAAGCCAAGATACTAACATATTAACTACTCTGCTTATCATTTCCTTGTTCCCCCTTTTCTCCCTGTAGGAAGCACAGTGTATCTCAACAATCGTATGCCATCTAAACTTCTCAGTCTAAAGTGAATGAGCTCTTTCGTGCAAATCACCCCCTGAGAAATGTCCATAGTGCTTGATGTCAGCTCAGATGCATCCCCTTCCTCAAAAGCATCACCAAATAGGCCTTGTCAGAAGTGCCCAAGTGGAGTGTTGTGTAGAACCTGACTTCTGACCCACTCCTGATGCTGGTGCACCTGTAAGTCTCAGGCCTTCCCCTCTGCATCTGCGCTGGTGTTCCTGGATGCATGCACAAGTGCTAGTAAAACTTTGGGGCATGATGCAGGAGGGCAGCAGTGACTTGCAAGTGGATGCAATCCTGCTTTTTCTTTGGTGCATTCAGTTAACACACTGCTGTGGGGGGTGTGCAAAGGATTAAGTAATTCACATGTTGACTGCCAGTTGTGAAGTGTCTTGTAATCAAGTGATGAGAATGTGAGTGACAACAATTTACATGTGGACCACCCTTGATGTTCATTTGGAACTTTAAAGATCTGCATGCTTTTCTAATCTTCCCTTATCTCCCCAGCTTTCCTATGCACTCACAGCCCTCTTTGGTCAAAAAGCACAGAGATGCCTCACATCTGTGTCACCCATCACTGTGTTTTGGAGTTTGTGGACTGAACACAGAGTCTATGCTGCCTTGAAAGAGGGTTTAAAATCTATTTTTTTACATGCTAAATATGCAAAGCTTTGGGCCGGGATGGATGAATCTGTCAGTTTTGGTTCCTCATCCAAATGGCTTAATCTCAAGTTATTTCCATCCCAAATATGGAAAAAAATGTCAAATTCGGATGGAATGAACTTACCAAAAATAAACCAAAAGAAAATTTTCACTGATTCCCATGTACTTGTAAAGTATTGTCCTCCTCAAAGGAAAGGGGAGGTGGCTAATTGCAGAGTTGATTCAGTAGCACAATGGCAGATTACTTTTTCTCCAACTATTAGATTATTTCTACTAAATTTTCTGTTCGTGTAGAGCATGTAGTATTTTCTGCCAAGAAGTATATCTTAGACTGTCCTTCCTTCCCCCAAGCCCAGATAAAGAACTTGTTCATTTTTACAACCTCAGTTTGCATTTTTCTCTCTTTACAGATCATTTTTGGAGCATCAGAAAAAAAGGAGATGTTGCTATTCATCATGAGTGTAAGAAAAGTTTCTGGGGAGAAGAATGGAACTAAATATTTGAAAAGATCACATATATACACTGTGCTGTCCTTGGGAATGCTTCTTGTACCTGTCATTGGAACATCAAAGCAAAATGTCCCAAGACTGAAACTGTCCTACAAAGGTAAACATTTGAAAGCTGCAGTCCTCTGCTTCTTCATCTTGGCATAAACACCATTGATTACAATATATTATACTTCTCTTACTTATAAGTAAACATAAGGATGTACTGTCAGTGATTTTTCCTCATCATTATTAGTGTTCAGCATTGCTAACAGATACTTCAAGTTTTGAAATGAACAGTCCTATGGTCCACAGACAATGCCCTGTGACATTGATGTTGTTATTTCTACCTGATAAGTCTCATCATATGGTTATGATTTCAGGAAGGGGACTCCAAAATTAACATACACACACTTCTTGTTGACAGATTTCTAGGAAACATGAGCCATATCTCTGAAATCCTTAATGTATTTGGGTACATGACTGTTATTCTACCGGGGGGCGGCAGGGCGCGTGGGAGGAAACGAAGCCCAACACACGGTAATCATTTCTGCATAATATTTGGCAATTCCTCATCTGTGGTTGCCAAAAAGGCTGCATAAGAAGTAACTTCTGTGCAAGAACCTGAAGAATACCAGTACATCTATCCTCCCCCTTTACCAGTAGGAAAAGATAGGTGTACTTTGTTCTGGCCTATTTATACAAACACTAGAAATTCTTCACAGGGACAAGACAGCAGCACACTTGTGCAATTGTTTGCAAGAAAATGTGAGTGCACACTGATTGTCCAACTAAACATGGATTCCTGTATTCCTAGAAGGGGGTGGAGTTCTAGCTATATGTATTGCTGTCCGTGAGATCTATTGACCTAGGTTTGGATATGTGGATTGTGCTACTCTGAGTTAAGTTGGCACTGAATTTAGTGCAAATGTTAGGATTTCCTGCTCAAGTGAAACATCTGAGATATTCTGAAGGAAACCAAAATGTTTTGATGAAATATGACTAAGCAAATATAGGTTTCCAAATGCTGGGTGCAACGGAAACAACTGCAAGGGAAGCAGGAGAGTTTAGTACAATTGGATAATAAATAGTTTTCATCATGTTTTCTTTCCCAATTTTAGACACTAAGGAGGGTGTGTTTTTAGTACTATTCTCTTTCTTGTAATTATCCCATTGCATTATGTCCTGAAGGGCAGCCACCAGTTCTGTGACATCAGGAGTTTATAGGGCAGCTGAACTAAGAATAACTGTTGAGAACTGACTATATCAATGTTGTGACACTGGAAACACTTATGAAGTTATAAACCTTTTTGCTTTTTGTAAACACTAAAGGGTCTTGGTCAGAAAGGTAGCCAGGGGATGGTGACAAATTCTTCTCCAGAAGATGCCATTCAGCAGTTTCTTCAGCTTTACTTGGCTGAATGAGAGGATTTGAGGTAGGACATGGCTGGTGAGTGGAGGCAGGAGGGAAAGGGTGGAGGCTGTTGGACAACTGTGGGTGTGATGATTCCCAGGCAGCATGTTTCTCTCGAAGGACCTAACTAGGGACTTTCAGCTGCCAGCAACCCACATCTCCACCATGGATGTCACCTGAAATGTCTATAAAAAGATATGTATGACATTACATTATGTACAATCATTGTCTCTCTTCTGAAAATGAAAGCCAATGAGTTGGAACAGAGGTAGAGACAGGCTGAATACAAATATTGTGGAAAGAGAAGTTCTTTAAGCAGATGCTATGGAAGATCAGGGCCAGTGGCAGATTTGCATCCATCTTAACATACAGTTAGGGTTTTGTATAGTCTCTTATCAAGGACTTTTGCATGTACCAAGACCTCGCACATTGTACTTTCATCCCATGAGACAGACCATTTTTCATCTTCCTCATACTACTTAGAATAGGTGATAGTAGGCTGGGCTGTACCACTTCAGAGCAAATAGGGGAGGGCTTGTCATATTTTAAAATATTCTCCTTCATGAAAAACAAAACCTTCATGTGATTGATAAACTAGTCCATCAGGGACACAGAATTAGCATCATCCTGGTGTGATGATAAACCTTTCCCACCTGTAGTCTGAATTGATACTGCCCGCCTTCTTCTCCATAAATGAAGCATTTGGTTACATCTCAAATCTCTGGGAAAAAATATAAGAATCAGCACCAGAAGAAAATAAGTATAGGAATCTGGAGATGAAGTGGGATGAGAACCTTCTTCTGTGTAACATGGAAAACTTGACCTAGGATTGTAACATTTTACCTCTGCTTCCTATTTGCTGTATGGTTGTCTCTCTTTTAATCTGCATGTTGAACCCAGTGTATCTTCTCCATTGTCTGTCTCAACCATTTCCAGACTGGTTAACTTCTATATGTTGTTTATATTACTATTAAAGTATTTGTTTCTTCAGTATCCTATAGGCAGTGACCAACACTTGCCTTGGATCAGTGTATACCAATCTTTCAGACCCAAGCTTTGAATCAGTGCGTTATGACTGAGTTGCAGAATCTTTAAGACATGTGCAGTATCTCTTCCCCAAAACCTTTCCATTATGGGTTGATGTTTTCCACAAGCTGCCACAATATATGATTATGTGTCCCAGTTACCAATTCATTTATCTATATATAAATCTAGAATCATAAAAAAGAAATTTCATTTAAGAGAAGGGAAATCCTTCTGCTAAAGACTCATGCTATCATTCAGATGACCAACTTATGATATGTACCACTAGGAATGGTGAAGAAGTTTGTTCAGTTTGCAGTTTAATGCTAATCGAATGCTGGGAACAATAGATGGTAAAAGAAGAAGGGGATGGCAGTGGATGAGGTGGCTAGATGGAGTCACTGAAGCAGTTGGTGTGAACTTAAGTGGAATCCAGGGGATGGTGGAGGACAGGAAGGGCTGGAGGAATGTTGTTCATGGGGTCACAATGGGTCAGACACGACTTCGCGACTAACAACAACAACAACCTAATTTAGCTTCTCCATACTTCTCCAAATGCTGCACTGGAATTCTTGAGTCATAAAATGCATGCAAAAATGTATATACTTGTGAAAGTAACCTGCAAGAACAGATTATATTAGGAAAAGATAGCTAAATTAGGCAAAATGTATACAATATACATGGTTGAGAGAAATGTACTAAAAATGTTCATGCATGTTCATGTGGATTTTTGAAAAACTCAGATCTCAGAATTAATGCTAGTTCAGATTTGAGGAATTCTCAGTGTTTGTGATGAGTCAAACTTTAGACTGGAAAAAAATAAGAGAAACCAAAATGTATAGATTCGTCTTTCTCTGAGTATTAGTATCAACCAAAGACAGCATTATGGTGATTGAGCTGTACATATCTATAAAGGACTCTGGGATATTCCCAAATAACATCATGAAATATGATTTGCCTGAAGCAAAAGTTAATTTCTTCTTATGTAAGAATGTAAAGGGTACATTTTCCACTCTAGCAAATGTGTACACATTTCTCCAGAGCTCTCCATAGTGCTGCTGGCTTTAACCATGTGACTATAAATATGACACCATGGTAGAACACAATTCCCGAAACTAAGACAAACAATATAAACTTAAATAGCAGTGGTAACTTCAAAACCCAATAGCCTCTTATTGGGTTAGGAGAACACAAAACCTCATTCATCACTCTTTCTACTGCATTTTGCTTTCCCCATTTAGGGCAAGGGACTGGATTCAGCAGAGTTTACCAGCTATGGTGCTTACCTTATTCCTACTTTATTTGTTCTGTTACACAGTCTGTAGTTAAGTGCCCAGAACAGTCTTGGACCGGGTCTTGGGATGGGTCAGTTCTACCTTCCCTTTTTATAAGGCACTCAGATATACAAAAAGAAAAGTACTGTATATGCTCCATTTTACAGAGTTGCTTACTCTGGAAGGTGCAGTTCTTACTTTGCTTTCTTGGACTGGTAGATTGTAGGGATGTTTCTCTTGAAGTTAAATATCTGACAGTGAGGCAGCCGTATCTGGATTCTAGTGAATATCCTGCAAATGCACACATGGGCAGCCATGGATGTTTCCTTTCACTGTACCCCATCAAACTCCCAAGCCACTTCCCAAAGTGTAATTGTGGCAACTGTCTTATCAGAACAGTGATGCAGCTAAGTTATGTGAAGCTCTCTGGATCTGAGGTCTCCAGGAGGGCTCCCATTGCCTGTCCTTCCTGATGTTCATTTAGCTTTTTATGACATATTAAAATCAGTATTTTTAACTGGGAGTCTGCATGATGCAAAGCAAAGTGCTGCCCTCCAGAACCATCTTTATCTGCAGTTCTGTGTTATGGAGCTCAGCCCTTGTGTCTGTCTTGAATTGGCTTCTCGGGCACGTTGCTTTCCTTCAAGTGTTACCAGTTTCCTTTTGGGATGTGAATGTTTTGTGACTGCTTGATCCTCCAATGATGGTGCTTCTCTAGGGTCTCTCTCATGTGCCAGCCAACCCAGGAAGGTTGGGGAACCTATTAGACAGCAATGTGTATTGCTTCCAAATGTAGTAAGCCAGGCCTTCCTTATTCTGCTTAGTAAGGCCCTGGCCATCTGCTCCAAGGCCCTGCCTTGACAATACCTCTCTATAAGACATGGGTCCTCCAACTATGGCCTGCGGGATGAATCCGGCCCGCCATGGCCATCCATCCGCCCCCCGTGGCCACCTGCCTCCCGTATGCGCGCGCTCACTGCTGCCTCACAGCACGGGCGGGGAGGTGGTGACTTGCTTGCTCGGAGGTGGTTTTGGACTCACTGGGAGACTCGCCTCGTGCACGCGCAATGGCACCTCACCGGCCCGCGCCTCCAGGCACCCCCACCTCACCAGCCCGCAATGGTCACCGCAGCCTTTCAACTGGCCCTGTATTCAAAAAATTTGAGGACCTCTGCTATAAGATGCCTTATCATGTCTGCTGTGAGATACAGGCTTCTGTCTGAACAATCCTGCACATCTTGTCTCAAAAGCTGAGACAGGATGGGCTGTTTAATTGCTGAGTAAAAAATAAATAAATAGGCCAACTATTGAAACAGCCTACAGCAATATGCAATTGTGGGAGAGTTTGGAACTCAGGCATCAATAGTCAGTGCAAGAATAGCAGTTTTACAAGTACACATGATTGTACTG